CTTAAGATTGTTGTATACTGTTGTACCATAAGATTGTTGTATACTTCTGTACGTCAAGATTGTTGTATACTGTTGTACCATAAGATTGTTGTATACTGCTGTACTTTAAGATTGTTGTATACTGTTGTACCTTAAGATTGTTGTATACTGTTGTACCATAAGATTGTTGTATACTATTGTATCTTAAGATTGTTGTATACTGTTGTACCTTAAGATTGTTGTATACTGTTGTACCTTAAGATTGTTGTATACTTTTGTACCTTAACATTGTTGTATACTTTTGTACCTTAACATTGTTGTATACTGCTGTACTTTAAGATTGTTGTATACTGTTGAACCTTAAAATTGTTGTATACTGCTGTACTTTAAGATTGTTGTATACTGTTGAACCTTAAAATTGTTGTATACTGCTGTACCTTAAGATTGTTGTATACTGCTACTGTATACCTTAAGATTGTTGTATACTGTTGTATTGTTTGTTGTAAATGTAGTTGAGTGTACATGGGAATCAGCAGGTCACCAGTGCATCCATGCTGTGGGGAATGAGTGCATGCATAACAAAGGGGGGAGACAGGAGTGACCACAGAATCCAGAAGAAAGGAAACCATGCGGACTTACACTTTCTGTGTCCTTCAAACATTTCATAGGCTGTGTAAAACATCTGACTCTGAGAGGCCTCTGGAGATGGAGGGAGGGAGGTGGTGGGGGTGTGGGGGGGGACAAGTAAACTGACAGGTCAGTGCCTCCAAATTAGCAGCAGTTTACCATACCTCCTATCTCCCCCAGAGAGACTACACCCTCCTCTGCAGGTGGGCTGCTGTAGTTTTATTCAGCTGATTTCACACAATCACACATGTTAGACCTAAATTCATCTGGCACCAATTTCACTTCACTGGTACCACTGAATTTAGCAGCTATTTCATTGCATTATAATTTCCACACTTACCTGATGAACAGATAAAACAAAACAAAGTGCAGGTAAGTGTGTTGGCGAAACAATAATATGCTTGTTTTAAAGCAAGAACACACAGACATAAGCAYCAAACATGCCAATTTAAAATCCAAACACACACATGTACACTGACTGAACCAGCAATGCAGCAACACCACCAGCAGACACACACTTTATGCAGAATAGTTGTCTTGTAGGTTAGTAGCAGAAACACATTTGAACTCAGCTGTTAAAAACAAACATACAGCTTGTGGATATCTTGAATTGTTTGAATAAAAGCTGGCATCCCATCCAGAAATCCAGAAATGGCTTTCGTTTGTTTTTATTTTTATCTGTTTTTCTTCTTTTTAAAAAACATTTTTTACAGTTGAGATAAATACATTACAACGTGAAGTGTACATTAAATCAGTTCAGTGTTTCTTGC